CAGCTGGCTTTCATGCCTAAGGCAGGACTACAACTCCCAGTCTCCTGGTGATTGGCCTCACTCGACTGGTTTTCATGCCTAAAACTGGACTAGGACTCCCAGCCTCCTGGTGAATGGTCCAAAGTCACCCAGCTGGCTTTCATGCCTAAGGCAGAACTAGAACTCCCAGTCTCCTGGTTTCTAGACTGGTGCCTTCCCCACTAGACCAGATTGTCTCATATTCCAAGGATGCATCCATGCTAGGTTGCATAATCTCCCAGGATCAAGGGTACAAGTGGAGAGAATGAGACCAAATTATATAGTACCACCCAGTGATTGAAAGGAATGGGATATCAAATCCAACTTTTGTTTTGTCCCTAAACGTTGGGCAAAACCTGAATTGATCGTGCCTGTTCCCGAAACATGTATTCAGACACCAATTTAAGTCTGAGCCGCACAAGATTTGCCTGTAACATCTGGCCTAATTTGAGGATTATTTTCGTTCTTCCCAACCCCTGTTTTTTGTAATATCTGATCTAATACAAAGTTCTGCAGAATCTGAAAGTTTGCACATTTTTGAGTCAGTTTCATTGATTCTAATAAAGATGCCATCCCAACTGTGAATTTTGATTTTTGTTTTGTTTTTAATGGATCAACATGGGCTACAATTTCCTCTTTTTCTTTTTGGGAACTTAAAAGCGCAATGTGAAAGCAGGTGGACCTACTACGCCCATCTCCCAGAGGCTCCTTGTCAGATAATATGAAACAGTTTTTTTAAAAAAAATCGGATCTATAGGGTAGATTCTTTTGAGATAAGACTTAAAAAGCAGCTCCTTTGAATTCTGAAAATAGCTGCTTTTTGCCAAGCTCTGTTCTGATGAAAGCTTTTGAGAAATGGATTATTTACTTTGTACTTGAGAGCGGACGCTCCCTCCAATGCCAAACATAGCTTTCTCAAGGCTTACTCCTACCAGGTCTGTAGCTGTTGTCCTACTGGGTGGCCAGCAATAGTGGTACAGAGCAGTGAGATTTCCCTTTTGTTTTTTTCAGCTTGAGCGACAGCTCCTCTGACGATGAGGAAGATATAAAAGGGACAACCCAAAACAAAGAAGAAGGGAGGATGGCTGAGTTGTCTTTGGCATCACGGTACAGGTGAGCGATGGTCATTGTGTTCGTGACATAAATGAGGCTATCATCATAATGACAAATTCTGTTCTGCAATCGTAAGGGAATAGAATAGAATAGAATAGAATAGAATAGAATAGAATAGAATAGAATAACAAACTTGAAAGGGACCTTGGAGGTCTTCTAGTCCAACCTCCTGCTTAGGCAGGAAACCCTACAGACAAATGGTTATCCAATATCTTCTTAAAAACTTCCAGTGTTGGAGCATTCACAACTTCTGGAGGAAAGTTGTTCCACTCATTCATTGTTCTCACTGTCAGGAAATTTCTCCTTAGTTCTAGGTTGCTTCTCTCCTTGATGAGTTTCCACCCATTGCGTCTTGTCCTGCCTTCAGATGCTTTGGAGAACAGCTTGACTCCCTCTTCTTTGTTGCAACCCCTGAGATATTGGAAGACTGCTGTCATGTCTCCCCTGGTCCTTCTCATCATTAAACTAGACAGATCCAGTTCCTGCAACTGGTTTTTATATGTTTTAGCCTCCAGTCCCCTAATCCTCTTTGTTGCTCTTCTCTGCACTCTTTCTATAATCTCAATGTCTTTTTTACATCATGGTGACCAAAACTGGATGCAGTATTCCAAGTGTGGCCTTACCAAGGCCTTATAAAGTGGTATTAACACTTCACTAGTCGATTCTGTACCCAACAAATACAGATAGTCCTTGACTTACAATCATTTGTTTAGTGACTGTTCGAAGTTACAACAGCACTAGAAAGTTACCTATGGCTGGTTTTCATACTTGCAACCTGTTGCAGCATCCTCATGGTCACATGAACCAAATTTGGATGCTCGGCAACCGATACGTGTTTATGACAGTTACACTGACTTGGGGTCATGTGATCACCATTTGAAGACATATATACCACTTCATAGTGCTTTCACAGCCTTCTAAGCGGTTTACAGAGTCAGAATATTTGCCCCCAACAACCTGGGTCCTCATTTTACCCACCTCAGAAGGATGGAAGGCTGAGTCAATCTTGAGCTGGTTAGAATTGAACTGCTGGCAGTGGGCAGAATCAGCCTGCAATGCTGCATTCTAACCACTGCGCCACCACGACTCCGTAACCTTCCCATCTGGCTTCTGACAAGGGAAGTCAATGGGGGAAGCCAGATTTGCTTAATGACCACATTATGCACTTAATAACTGCAGTGATTCGTTTAACAACCAGGACAAAAAAACTTGTAAAATGGGGCACAACTCAACAAAATTGCCTTGCTAAGCAACAGAAACTTTGGCTCAACTGTGGTTGTAAGTCGAGGACTACCTGTCCATTGACTTTATATATACACACACACATATCCCACAGCTGATGCTACATTTTTCCTGGTTGCCAATTTGCTATTAAATGTACTGTAAGCCTTGACTGAAGGCTTAGTACGATTTGTGAGTTAGTCCGAAAAGTCTTGTTTTAACAAACTGCGATGAGGTTTACAAGCTGAGTGCAGTTTGTGAGCTCAGCCAAAACATTTGCAGTGGGCGTAATCAAATCTTTTACTGGCCCTTTTAAAGAATTGTCTTAAGTTGCAGACTATAGCTTTGCGTGACGTGCGAACGAAACCACATTGCTGGGAGGGATGTTGTTGAACATGACGCATCAGTCCAACAGGCTACATCAGGGGTGTCAAACTCGATTTCCTTGAGGGCTGCATCAGCGTGGTGTTTGACCTCAGGGAGCTGGGTGGGTGTGGCCAGCTCAACATCACTCGTGTTGGGGGGTGCCTGTAGTGGCCTGAGCGCTTCTGCCAGTGAAAATGGGCTCCCAAGCTCCATTTTTGGCTGCCACGGCCTCCTGCAACCCTCTGCCAGCGAAAACGGAGATTGGGAGCCCGTTTTTGCTGGCAGAGGCACCGCATACTGGTCCTTTGCTGTTTCCAGGGTGGCCCCGTAGGCCATATCTAAGCACCCCATGGACCACATCCAGCCCGCAGGCTTTGGAGTTTGACACCTCTGATATAGGGTCTTCTGCTTGAGCATGGGGTTGGGCTAGAACAGGGGTCTGCAACCTTAAACACTCAAAGAGCCATTTGGACCCATTTCCCACAGAAAAGAAAACACCGGGAGCCACAAAACCCTTCCCGTGCCTGACTATTTCTAGAGTGGCTACAAAATTAGCATATGTAGTTGAATTAAACGTTCCGTTTTCTTCTGAAACTTTTCTTTTCTTGGATTTATCCATGGTTGGCCTACCGGGGGTTGAAAAGCTCAATAAATCTAATGCCAGCGGGTGTCGCACATTGGCGGCTGTGACGCATATTTTGAGGGACAGGGTGCCATAGCAGAGGGGTGAAAGAGCCACAGTCGGCTCCAGAGCCACAGGTTGCTGACCCCTGGGCTAGAAGACCTCCAAGGTCCCTTCCAGCTCTCTTCTGAATCATTGATTAAGTAGAATAAAAATGATTCCGTAAATAAGGTATGACCCCCTCCACCTGCCCGGCCCCTTGGTTTTCTGAGGTTCTCCTACACCCATCCTTTTTGTTTCCACAAATGTCTCCCCAGAAGACATTTACATAATGCAAACAAACGGAGATTGGGAGCCTGTTTTTGCTGGCAGAAGCACCGCGGGCTGTTCCTTCGCTGTTTCTAGGGCAGCCCTGTGGGCCAGATCTAAGTTACCCCGCAGGCCAGATGTGGCCCCCGGGCCTTAAGTTTGACACCCCTGAGCTACATGAACCAACTCATTCTCTCTCTCTCCTAGCAAAAATTGCACTGGGAAATGTTCTCTACTGCAACAGCTCCGAAACTTTCGAAAACAGATGTCTCAGTTGCCGGCTCCTGAACCAAACAAAAGAAGCCAAAATCCCCAGCAACCCAACAGAACCCACCAGCTGAATGTCAGAACAACAAAGCAGAGTCTGATATACAGAGGGCAATCTTCCACGATGACAGAAAAAACGGAGTCTGATGGAAGGAATCCCCTCCTCAGTGACTGCGCTAAGGGAGCAGCTAAGTCTTCCAGAGAATTCCAGAAAGAAACCAAGGAAGAGACATGTTCAGAACTGCCTCCAGATGCTTCTCCAAAGAAAGATGGCAAAGACTGAAGGTATTGCATGGAAAACTCCTCAGGGGAGATTGGCGAGCTAGAAACATGAAATGTAAATAAAATAAAAAGCTTGAAATACGATTTATTTGCCATATACTTCTTTTCCTCCAAAAATTCAAGACACCAAACACCCCTCCCCTTTTCAGTTCTGTTGCTGATTGGGGTCACTCATCATGCAGAACTATACCATGATTTGATTTTCCTCTTCATATAACACAAATCGAGTCGTTATTTTATTTAGTTTTTTTATTGATTGATTGAATTGAATATAGGCAGTCCTCAACCTACGACCAGAATTGAGCGCAAAATTTATATTGCTAAGTGAGAATTTTGTTAAGTGAGTTTTGCTCCATTTTACAATGTTTCTCATCACATATGTTAAGTGAAGCACTGCAGTTCTTAAATTAATAACACGGTTGTTGAGTGAATCTGGCTTCCTCATTGACTTTACTTGTCAGAAGGTCACAAAAGGGGGATCACATGATTCCGGGACAATGCAACCGTCATAAGTATGAGTTCAATCCTAGGCAGCAACATGGATATTTCTCTATCCGCACAAAGAGAAAATATCTGCTGTGAACTCCGCATAGGCATCAGGAAGGGCATCCGGCCAGTAAACGCTCAGCTCCGTTCAGTCGTCCTGATTCCACCCCAATAAAAAGGGATTACAGGATCATCATACTATCACATGTGGTGGACAAGTCCAGAAATGAGAAATTATTGGGCAAAAATTTGAATATGGCTAGAGAGAATGACACAGCAACATATTGATCTTAAACCGGAGCTGTTCCTGTTGGGTATCTTACCGAAGAAATTTAGTAAAGAAAATATATATTTGATTATACATGTAATAACGGCAGCAAGAATAGTATTTGCACAAAATTGGAAAGCAGAAAAAAATCCTACAAAGGGAGAGCTAATTAAGAAAATATTAGAAGGTGCAGAAATGAGTAGATTAACATTAGCAATTAGAGGGAAGGAAGAATCGGAGTATTACAACATATGGGGGCAATTTTATCAATGGATAGAGACTGAATATAGACAACGGGCAATGTAACAATAAGAAATATGGGAAAAATATGTTGTAATACATTAAATTTAAATGTAAGAGGAAAGATAAATATGTACTAAGAAAATGATGATAAATGTTGAATATGATAACACACAAAAAATTTGTACCCAGATGTTACACTGATTGATTAATGATGAATTGTTTGTTTAAAAATAAACAATTTTTCCAAAAAAAAAAAAAAAAAGGGATTACAGGATCATAAAAAGAAAAAAAATTGACCAAGTGTGATGAGACGAACAAGAAATTTGTCTTCAGCGCAGAAGCTCTCAGGGTACATGCAAAGCAAAGGAGTAATCATCACCATCATCATAATAGCAATAAAAGGAGGAGCAAGGAAGATAAGAAGAATAAATGATAATACTACAGCCATATTACATGGGTAAATATATATAGACATATTACTTTTATTTGCCACCCAACTTGCCACAAGCTGTCAGTCATTTGAGCCTCTCAGCGTGAAATAGCTACTTTAATCCTTAATCCTTAAATCTTTGTTAGACAAATCATGGTTATAGCATGTTTTCCTGACCTGAACAATGGTCTGGAAAGCTTCACAGCCAATCAGAATCTGGGCCTCTTCATCAGTTTGAACCCGAGACTCTCATAATTACGTGGTACTGCCTATTGGCAATCATAAATAATGCAGTCATTGCAATTTATAAGAAAAGTCCTTTGAACCTGGGTGGCTATTAAATTTGAATAAAGGAATGAGCGGATAAATAAGTAATGAAAAGGTCCTGTACATTTTAAGGTTAAGTTTACACATGGCCTCTTCGCGCATGAAGTGGTTTTGCTATAAAAGATGTACGTAAGCTCGCTCCTGTATTCTGCAGGATTGTGGGAAACCAGCAGGAAGAGCAAGTGAAGGAGGAAACCATGAAACGGTGGTTCCGGGAAACAGCTGGAGAAATCAAATCTGCAGCACTCCACCAACAGGAAGCAACCCAGGACTGAACAAACCCCCATCGTGTTCCATACGGTCAGTATACAAAGGAAGTTGTGTCCAAAGAGGGGGGGTTGTTGGTGACTTCTTTTCAGTTTCTGTTCTGCCCCAGCTACGGACCCTAAAGAACGCAGCACACACAAAGTCTGTGCAAACCTTAGTTTACTAAATTAAATCAGTTTTTTTTTTTCAAACAAAGGCTGTTAATTAACTTTCTTAACAACCTACAAGAATCCAAAGAATAAATAATCGTAATCTTACTATGGTTGGCAGAAAGCCCAGAAGCAATTGTCCAAAGAACTAAGATCAAGGCGCAAAGGAGAGTGAATAACTCTGTTATTCCATGACCCAAAGGTGCTCTTTTTCTCAGGAGGCAACTGGACTTTCTGGTTTTTCTTCGAAGAGGTTTCACTTCTCATCCAAGAAGCTTCTTCACCTCTGACTGGATGGTGGGGAAATGGAAGGACATCCACTCAGAGCGGAAGAAGCTTCTTGGATGAGAAGCGAAACGTCTCAAAAGAAAAACCAGAAAGGCCAATTACCTTTTGAAAAAAAAAAGCCCTTTTGGGACAACCATGGCCTGGATGGCTGAGAATTCTCCATAGACACTTGTTATTGTGTTATTCTAAAATAAACATCTGAAAGATCCAGAATTCCGCTATTTTGCTTGCGGAAAGTAAACTTCTGCTTCTGCTCGTGTGTAAATTAAGTCACGTGCCACCCAGGCAGACGGTTTGCCTTGAAATAAATGCAACGCAGAAGAAATTGGGAAACTGTTGTGGCCCGTCAGCGGCCTGTGAGGCTGGTGGCTGATTCGGACAGCGAGGAGGCTGGTGTGCTGCGCCAGCAGCCTGTGCAGTTGGCGCTCGAGTCGGACAGTGAGGAGGCTGGAGAAGATGTGGTGCCAGAGGCGGGGATTCAGCCAGGGCCTTCAGAACTTCCAGAAGCTCCCACAACTTCTGGAGGCAAGCCATTCCACTGGTGAACTGTCCTCACTGTTAGGAAGTTCCTCCTTAGTTCTAGATCCGTGATGGCGAACCTATGGCACGCGTGCCACAGGTGGCACGCGGAGCCATATTGTTGGGCACACGGTGTTGCCCTAGCTCAGCTGCAGCACACATGTGCACACCGTCCAGCTGATTTTCAGCAAACAAGCTATTTCCAGCCTCTGGAGAGCCTCTGGGGGTGGGGTGGGGAAGGCCGTTTTCACCCTCCCCATGCTCCAAGAAAGCCTCTGGAGCCTGGGGAGGGCGAAAAACAGGCCAACCAGGCCCACCGTGCCATCGCGTGCCAAAAGCGGGGGGAGCACAGGGGATCATGCGGGGGGGGGGGGCACATTGAATTATGGGTGTGGCACGCAGGTGCACGACCCCCTTGCACTCCCCCCACTTTTGGCACGCAACGGCAAAAAGGTTAGACATCACTGTTCTAGGTTGTTTCTCTCTTTGAATAGTTTCCATCCGTTCCTTCTCGCCCGGCCTTCTTTTCATTGCAGTTACAATACAAATTTTACGTGGTTTTGCAATCCACGCACATCTCTTTTCTTTGGACGGATCTTCATTCTCCATAAACATCTATGAATAAAAGTCATTTCAAAGAGAGAGGACGGGGAGGCTTCAAGCAGTCTGCGCGTATACGGCCATCCTTTTTTTTTTTTGCAAAACGGGCCTAAAAAAAACAGGCCTGACAGTGATGCTTTCCGCCTCTCGGATTAGAATGTTCTCCCCCTTTGTGGATTCCTACGCCAACCGAAGAAATTTAAGTTGTTTTGACATCTGAAACCAAAGCGGCGGCAATTTGGCAGCCGTTGTCCCTTTTGATATTTGGAAATGAAACGAGCGAGAGGATAAATGCGTGCGCGCGCAGTTCATTTTCAATCGGATCCTTTTGATCAGTTTTAATCCAGGGTTGACTTCGCCTCCAACCATCAGGTCAACTTCGGCCAAGTCTCCTCTTTGGCGCCTTCCAACTTTCGCCTGCTTGATTTGCTCTGTTAGGATATGGTTTGAGCCTAACAGTTGTCCAGGCAATATACAGTATGTGTACTGTTACTTTAATCTGATAATGTATTATGTGACTTTAATGCTGAGTCATGCTGTAATTACATAATGACTGGTTATGAGAGTATTTAAGCAAGGTACTGTAACATGTTCAGTTGCTGCTATGTTATGCTGCCATTGTGTATGAAGATGATGAGATGATGAAGCTGCTATGATAAGCTACCATTGAGAGGAGTTGCTATCTGCTAATCATCGTTGGATGGATCTGTAACCATTGTGGCTTGTGAACCAGAGTGAGTTTGTTATTCTAACCAACTACTGTTTGTTGGGTAAGAAGATTCTGTAACTACTGGACTGATTTACTGGCGAAGACTTGGAATTTGTTTAAAGACTATGAGACTGTTTTTCTACTATAAAGTAAGCTTTTGATAAACCAGTTTGCATAACTCTTATTCATTGCTCTCAGCAACGTTTCCTTGTGCAATTTACTCTGCTGGTTGGTAACACAACACCAATATCCTTAACATGCTCGCTGAGTGTTAGGCCGTCTCTGGCTACATCTTCAAAGTCACCAACTCAGCCACCAGCGGAAAATTTAAACAGCTGAAAGCTGCGGGAAAACACCAAAGGAGATCAAGGGAAAAATAAATAAATAACCCAAATCCAAAGGCAGGAGCATGAGTGTAGCTATAGCACTTTAGACTAATATGCCGGTAGTCCTCGACTTACGACCGCAGTTGAGCCCAAAAGTTTCTGCTGCTAAATGAGTCGTTTGTTAAGTGAGTTTGGCCCCATCGTATGACCTTTCTTGCCACAGCCAATCACTGTGGTCGATAAGTTAGTGATAGCACTAAGCAATAGCACTTAGACTTATATAACACTTCACAGTGCTTTCACAGCCCTCTCTAAGCGGTTTACAGAGTCAGCCTATCACCCCCAACAATCTGGGTCCTCATTTTACCCACCTCGGAAGGACAGAAGGCTGAGTCAATCTTTAGCTAGTCAGGATTGAACTGTGGGTGGGGAGGTTGTTTGGGGAGGGGGTGGGGAATTGTGGTGGGTGGGGGTGTGTGTTTGGGGATTGTTATGTGTACTGGACCTGGCCTTTGGCTGTTAAGTGAATTTTGTTGTATGGGTATACTGTGTATACCCATACTGTGTATACCCATACAATGACAATGAAGTTATTTATTTATAGAATTGTTTCCTGCAAAAGCCCCCTCCCTGTTCGCTCCTCTTTTGTTTCCTATGGGAGGGGCCAATCATCTCCAAGGTGTGGCTTTACTCCTGAGTCGACCCTGCTTTCTGAGTTGTTCTTGTCTTCTGGCAGCTCTGCGCATGCGCACACTGGGAACAGGCTCCAGCTATTCCTCTGCCTCGCTGCTGTCTATCTCCCTCTCTGCCTCCAACGCAGAGCCCTCGTCTGAGCTTTTCCCAGTCCCCAGGACCGACCTATATTCCTCCCCAACCCCCTCACTGTCCGACTCTGCTGCCAGCTCTGCTGGCGGGCCACAACAGACAAACTCAGCGCCAGGCCATGGGATTCTCAGCTGCGAAAGCGCCACCTGCAATAAATCGATGCAGAGATGCAATAGTCAGGTTCCACCATGGGCCATACGTAGCTTTCTACTTGGAATTCTTCGTGGCCTTGGCTCCCATGGCACAAGCAGCATTTTTTTTTTTAATGATGATACACTAGTGTGTTCCCCACTTGGAACACAATGATGTTTTAGGCCGCTCATAATGCATCTCAATAACTTGAGTTGAACAGTAATTACCCCGATGCTTAGAATGCACAATAAATCGTCGGTTTAATGGACCTTGGTTTAGCAGATTACAGATGCGTGGACGAAATCTGAATGCTTTATGCTTCTGTGCGTGTGCAAATTTCGCACCTGCCATTTTGTGTCTGCAGAAGATACCTACAATCCTTGTGTGTGAGTTGCCATGCCATTCCGTGCTTGTATAAAATGCACAGAATACATGAAATACAGAAATGTTATCTGTAAAACCCCATTTGGATTTCATAAATGTTAGGCTTTAATAGACATGCCTTGCCCACTTGTTAGTGGGCTAAATTACTAGAATTCCTTCCTTCCTTCCTTCCTTCCTTCCTTCCTTCCTTCCTTCCTTCCTTCCTTCCTTCCTTCTTCCTTCCTTCCATTCTTCTGCTTTTCTTCCTTCCTTCTGACTTCCTTCCTTCCTTCTTCCTTCTCCCTTCCTTCCTTCCGCCTTCCTTCTTCCTTTCTTCTGCCTTCCTTCCTTCTTCCTTCCTTCCTTCCTTCCTTCCTTCTTTCCTTCCTTCCTTCCTTCTTCCTTCCTCCCTCCCTCTCTCCCTTCCTCCCTCCCTCTCTCCTCCCTTCCTCCCTTCCTTCTGCCTTCCTTCCTTTCTTTCTTCCATCCATCCATCTTATACAAAATAGTTTTTATTGAACATTTTCCAAGTTTAAAAATCACAAGTAAAAAAAAAGAAAAAGTGAAAAAAGAAAAGAAAAAATACAAATACAAATACAGATAAAATACACAAACAACAATATAGTATAATTTTACAGCTTTTCGTATCAGCATGTGCGTTCTGCTTTTGTAATTCACTATTCAATATTTGCCTTCTCATATATTTTTACAATTCTAGTAATAGTATAATAATTATATTGTAATATTAATATAATATATTCTGATTATATGTATATACAGTTATCTTTCTAATATAGTCAATGGTTTTGAACATTTATTTCTTATTTGAGCTTCTATTCTCTAGCCACTTGTACAGTCTACTCCAAATTTTATAATATAAAATTTATAATATAAAATATAAAAGGTCGGGTGTTTCTGATTTCCTCTTGGAAAATCATTTTTTCCCTGCAAGGAAACTGTCTTGTAGCAATTTGCTAGCCAGCAGTTCCTCAAAGAGCCAGCAGATGGCTCCAGAATCCTATTAACAAAGGGAATATTGCAGGCCTTATGAATAGACTCCTATGAGCTGGAAGGGACCTCAGAGGTCTTCTAGTCCAACCCCCCTGCTTCCCCCCCCCTTCC